TTATAATAAACATTTTATTTTGAGGTGTTTATCATATGTTACAGTTATGATATTTATAATTTTATTATGTTGCTAATTATGATTTAAGTATGATTAATTGTAATATTAGTTATACTCAATGTGATTATTATTTTAATTATAATTAAAAACGTCTTTGGTTATATAGCTCATTATTATTTTTAATTATAATTAAAATAGATTTAGTTATGATATTTGCATATGTAGCATGACTCTCTCTCTCTATGTATATATATATATACTTATATTTATGGGAACATGTGCCTTATAACTATAAAAGAAAACGGCATAATTTTATAGTTTTTGAGTTATAACTGGAGAAAAAAGAAAAAGAAAAAGAAAGTTATAACCAACCACAAAAAAGTCATAAACACATATCTCAAAATAATGTCACAACTAAAGAAGAAAGTTGACCATAACTAAAGAAGAAAATGACGTAACTAAGGGTGCATATAGTATGAAGTGTATATAATAGAATTCTCCTATATTTATATATAACTTGCTTGAATATAAATATTAAAATTATTTATTTTGTTTGATGTTGAGTTTTCAAAAATATTTTTTGATTTTTTATTCCATATTCTTTTGTTTTTGCTCAATTTTTTAAATATTTTAGTCTTTTTTTAATAAAAAAATGCTTTATAGATCGATTTAATTTAGATACACTTAAAAAGTAAAATATTTGTGGAGAAATTTTACAAAAAATCAATAAATACAAAACATGTGAAAATATACTGAATTTTTGTACTTTTTTTTATATTTAGTGATTTTTGTAAAGATTTTTTTATTATAAATCATATATTTTTAAATATATCTAAATTAAGTGGATCTAAAAGCAAATAAAAAAGAATAAAGATTTGGATCCCCTTTCTCCCCACCCCCTTTGACCCCCTTTCTTTTTTGATTGGTCACTTTTTCTTTTTCTTTTTTTTCTCTTCCAATCACCACCCGCCACGTGTGTGTGGAGGTGGTGGAAGTTGAAGTTTGAGAAGATCTAAATCACTGCTGAATAAAAAAATTGATTAGAATATTACACGCCTTCACTATAAAAAGAAACAAATATATTTAATACTCAATACCAAACAGAGTAATTAGATTTTTTTACCTGTGCTATGCACAAAAAACACTTGAAATATTAAGTGACAAATTCAATTTTTAAATTTTGTATTAGTGAATGTTTATATTTCCTGAGCAATTTCCATATAATTTTTTTTTATATTTATAATTGACATAAATTAATGTCATTAATGTAAACATAAATCATAATTGTTGAGATACTATGGAAATTTTCAATGGACAATAACATAATTAATTTATTCAAAAAAATTTGTATCGAATTAAAAAAAATATTTCTGAAAAGGCAATCGTAACTGGTATAGTTAACAATATTTTATAAACAATTCATATATTTAGCAAACCACCATCCATTATTCACCACGTCTATTGTTTTTAAAGTTTTTTTTAATTAAAATTTCAATTTTAAACAACTAATCATTTGATTCATTATAATGAAATTGAATAAAATGAAATATTCATTCATTCACCTCTTTATAAAATAATTATTCTCTTACAATGATAAATAATAATGATTTCGTTTATAATATATTTTTTAAAATAATTTTTTATTCTACTTTATTTGAATGAATTAAACATAATATAAGACCTACATTATTTGAGAATTCTATTTTTTAGACAGAAGTGGAGGCTCAAGGCAGCCCGACTTCTTTCACTTTACAAATATTAATTATCAATATAGTTTAATATTAAAATTTTGGCCTAATATGTTTTAAAAACAGTACAAAAGTTATTCTTCTAAGTTACGATTTGTTATTTTTAAATAGGTGTACAGCTTCATTTCACACGGCCTACTCGACACCCCCAGTTCGTCCTCATCCATACATTTTAAACTATCCTCGTCATAATTCTCTTGAACCGTTTATAATTTATTTATTTTTATTTTAAAAATTTGTGTCAAAATTATTTGGTATATTTTTTACTTGCATCTTATTAAATAAAAATAAGTTTAAAAAAATTGATTACTGGAAAATTAAAGAATAAATGTTTCTGACTTCTGTTTATCTGATTATTAACTTTGAATTTACAATAAAATCAGGGCCGGCCCTGAAAATTCAGGGGCCCTAGGCGAGCTTATAAATTTGGGCCCCTTATACATATGCCAAAAAAAAAAAAAATATTTGCTAGTAGCCACTCAAGTTTGCTTGAGTAAATTTTGGCCCTTTGATTGTTTTTTTAATTGGACTAATTTTTTTATTTGTTTTTAATATAGGCCTGCAACATGTTTTTATTTGGGCCTTTTATAGTGGGCTGTTTTATTTTGGAGGGCTTCTATTTTAGTGGGTTGTTTTGTTTTTGAGAGCTTCTAACAATAATTGGATGTTATTTAAAACTTGATAGTATAATGGATCTTCAAAATTTAGGGCCCTATTTTGGGGGCCCTAGGCACAGGCCTTACTCGCCTGAGCCCAGGGCCGGTCCTGAATAAAACACACCAAAACAGATCCGAAAAATCGATGGCTAAAAAAGGATCTCTATTCTTCCAACCCCTGGCCCGACCCTGAGATTTCTGGAGCCTAAAGCCGATAATCAACTAATAAATTTTTGGGCCCTTTCACATTTTTTTTTTATTGAATGAAAAAAAAAATTTAAAAGTAAAGGACAAAGGATTTATGTCAAAATCACAAAAAATACTTAGTATTACATTACAATAACTAATAAGTATCGTTTGATCTTCACTCTTCTTGTATTTTTAGAAGCAAATAAATCAATCATACTTGCATAATCTAATTTTTTTTGCAAAATCATTTTCACTGAATAACAATGCTAATTATTTTAAATGGGTCTTTCAATTTTTTAATGGATCAATTTATTTTAAGTTAATTTGGGCCTGCCTTTTTTTTTTTTTTTTTGACTTAAAATATACTTAATATATTAGACTAAACTATAATAAAAGAGACCCCCTTTTTGGGTCTATTTTCTAATGGATAACAGTGCTAATTTTTTTGAATGGCCTTTCAATTTTTTAATAAGTCAATTTATTTTAAGTTAGTTTAGATCTTTTTTAATTTTTTTAAACTTAAAACATACCTAATATATTATACTAAATTATAATAAAAAGAATCCCTTTTTTAAATTTATTTTATGAGGTCCTAGACCATAGTCTTATAGCCTATGCCTCACGGCCGGCCGTGGCCTTCCCCGTTCCCGTTCCCGTCCCCGTCCCCGCTACCCCCCAATTTCCCTATTTTAAAGATTTTTATATCTTAATTTTTGTAACATGGTATGATTGAGAGAGGATAGAGAATAAAAAGCAAAAAGTTTGCACAGTGGAAGAGATAGCTCGAGATAAAGGGATCGAAAATTTTATATTTAGGCCTAGTTTGGAAAGACTAAATAAGTGCACTTTTTAACTTTTTATGAAATATGGGTTGGGTTTGGGTTGGGTTTAAAGTGATGTGTTAGAGAGGTGATGTGACTTAAATAAGATGATGTGACTTAAATAGGATAGTGACTTTTTGAGTTTTTATCTTTTTTTCAATCATGCCAAACTTAACCTATTATTATTTTGTTATATTTTATTTATCAAATAATGTACAACCGTTATAATCATTAACATGAGTTCTATTCAATAGTTATAGATGTGTGGTTAACAAATTATAATGATAAGAAAAGAATAATGATATAGAATTTTTTTTTTTATATATAAAATTATATTATTCTAGATAATTTTTTTTTTGTATAATTTTTTTGCGTTAATATTAATATCTTGATGATCATAATTTTAAAAATATATATATTTTGTTTATTATCTTATGTGTCAACACATTATTGATTTATTGAATATTACAATGCAGGTTGATACATGAGATAATAGCCCTGTTTGGTAGAGCTGTGGAAAAGTGTTTATAGCTTATGCCTAAACAGCTTATAGCTTATAACTTTCAGCTTAAGCTGATTTCCAGCTTATTCTTAAAGCATCTCCTGCCCCACTCAAAGAATAAGCTGTTTTCTGACTTCCACAAAGCTATAAGCTATAAGCTATAAGCTAAACCAAACACATCAAAATAGCTTAAATTAAGCTGAAAGCTGAAATAAGCTGAAATTAAGCTGTACCAAACAGGGCCAATAATAAAACATGGTATACGAGGTGTGTATTTTTAATATTATCTAATTTTAATTGTTGAATTATACAATCTATTAATATAAATATAAATATATTTTTGTAATAAAAAGCACCAAAATAATTTATTACAGAAAATGCATGACAGCAAAATCAAACTCAAAAGTAGCCTTGCATGCAAGTTTGGGCCTCTTTTGACTGGTTAATAAAACCTTTGTGCCTGTGAAGAAATTGACAGATGGAAGCAATCTTTACCACTTTATAACAACTGGCAAAAGGTAAAATTATTAGATGGTTGCTTACCTCCACTCCCACTCCAGATGGTTCTAATCTTTCTTCTCCCTCCACCAAATATTCCACCACTTCCCCCTTTTTATTTATTTATTTTTTTTTATAATTCCATAATGGGGACCAACTAATTTGAAAAACCAATTTTAATGTCTACTAACATAATCTAATTAAATTCAAAATAAAGCCCTATATGAATTACATTTAAAAAGTTTTGAACATAACAAATGAGATATTAAGGCCTCGTTTGGGAACAGGCTAATTTAGTAATTTTTTGGCTATTTGGCTAAAAAAGTAGTAAAAAAAACTTATATGTTTGGGATGACTTTTTGGCTAATTACGAAAAAATGTGCAAAAAGTAGAGAGAAAAGAGAATCTTTGACTTTTTTGTATGAGTTGTTGACTTTTTGACTAAAATGATAATTTTTTGACTTTTTGACTAAAAAAGTAAATCCCCAAACGGGGCCTAAAAGGAGTACACAGTATCCCAAACTCTAAGCCTTGGCCACAGACTAAACCAATTACCACAACCCCAATCCTATGTCCTCATTATCATCCTAGGATGACACCCAACTTGTTCTTTACTACCTCTCTTTTTCTCTATAAATACAACACTTTCTTCATTATTCATGCATATCAACTCCTACAAGAAAGAGTTTTGGTTCAATTCAAATACTCTTTATTAGCAGCCATGGCCATCCCTAAGGTTCTAATAGCTTCACTTGTTGTTTCTCTTCTTCTTCTCCATCTCGTTGATGCTGCTGATGAAACGGTAGGATCTCATCATCACCTTAATAAGTCAGTAGAACATATTATGTTTATGTAAATAAGTTCTTTTACTTTGCTTCCTTTTTAATTTTTGAAGTATTTGATCAATTTTTACTAACCTATATACTTGTTTTGTGGAATTACAGGAGAACACCAATCTTTCTCAGACTTCTTATGTCCAGAAAATGGGTATATTTGCGTTTTCTTTACATTTCCAAGTCTCATGGAATTATAATCATAATCAGATTGATTTCTCTTAGGACTGAAGAGTCCAGTTTGAACTTTTAGATTGTGTCAATTGAGTTGAGACTTTAAAATTAAAATTTAAAATTCAAACTTTTTGTTTAGACAGGAAATTCTATAGGCACATGCATCTCTATCATATTTGGTGGTAGTAAATATTACTTATTTTTGTGTCTATCATATGTGTAATATTATCACAAAATGCATTAATTTTATTTCTAAATCACAAATTATTGTAACTCTATCAAAAAAATTATATAACATCTACCATTACAATACATAATATATATTACAAAAATTCATAACAAGAGTACATATGATACACACGTTTTGAGGGGTTTGTACCATAGCATTACCATTTAAGAGGTGTTTAGTATGATCTATATATTTATTTATGATCTAAATAAGTGTATTTATTTAATTTATGTCAAATAATGCCTTAATATTAGGTCAGATTTTTTACTCAATCAAATAATGAGCTTTTATGAATGACAAAATCAAAGCTTTCGGAGCATGTTTATGACAAACATGGCCAAATTTGATTAGGAGATGTGTTGCTTGCAGCTCAAAATTTAATCCTTCAATTCTCCAAATTTCAAGGTCTGTTTGGTTAGACTTGCAGTTTGGTTTAGACTGTTATTCCTCTACATGAGGACTATATATGTATATATATATATATTTATTTTTATTTTTTTTAGAACAGCTATATGAGAACGATTAAAGCCCGTCACCCCCTTTGGGATTATCTTCCCTTCACCCTTTAATAGTATATATATATATTTTTAAATTTTCTTATTTCTCAATCTTTTATTCTATTTTAACCAAATAATTCGATGATATATGATTCCGATCAATAATCTCATCGTATTAAGAAAATTGAAAAAAAAAATGATATGTAATTGATGAGATCATCTATCTTTTCTAATCTTGTCTCTCCTGACAAATATGAATTTAAATTACAAAAAGTATCGATATCAGACAATTTGAAAACTTGAGAACTTAACTCGCAAATCTAAAAAATGACAAACTCAATTATAATTATCAACAACCGATTATTCAAATAGGTCTAATAGTGATAATAATAATAAATAAAAAAAAAACTACTAATATAGGAGTAATTAACTGTTAATAATTTTATTTATTTAATTTTTTTTTCTAGATTGTGGAGCTGCATGCGTTGCCAGGTGTCGGTTAGCATCGAGGCAGAAAATGTGCAAGAGGGCATGCGGGACCTGCTGTGCCCGTTGCAACTGTGTACCACCGGGTACTTCCGGTAACCAAGAGGTGTGTCCCTGTTATTACACCATGACGACCCATGGCGGCAGACGCAAGTGCCCTTAAATATCTACAATTTTACAAACTATATGATATGATTCTGAGTTGTATGTGTTTTGAGAGAAACCAAAGACCAAAAAATGAAAAAAAATAAATGTGTAAAATTAATAATATGACATTTCTGCATTATGTTTGAGTGTAAACTAAAATAAATACATAATTGTGGGTGTTGGATATTTGTGTGATGTACTTTGAATAAGGAATGAAATTTCTAGTTTCATCTACCTAGTTGTTGTCCTTTGCACTTTATTAACACTTTTTTATTTTTTGTTCTTTTGTTGTTTTCAATTATATAAAAAAAATAAAATAATTGTCTCATCTTACATATTTATCCATATATATATATATATATATATATCATTCTAATTAAGTAATATAAGAAAAATTACACTATTGGTCATGTAATTTGACCCTTATTTCATTTTGATCTCTCTAATTTGAATTGAATTAATTTTGACCATGAATTTTTTATTGAAAAATGCTATGGTGCCTGACTAAACTACCCAAATTTTTCTGGATAGTATGTTTGTGTGCTGTAGATTGAATTGATGAAGTGTGGAACCAAGTGTGAAACAAATATGAATCATAAATTGATATTTCTGGATAAAATTATAGATAATATTTTTGGGACCATAGTATTACTATTTTTTACTGGTCTAATTATTAATATTTGTATGGCAAATGCGCACACAAACAACATGTGTCATATTTTTAGAAGTAAAATTATAAATTTAATCAATTCAATAACTTGACCTCAACTATAATTCAATAAGTTTTTTTGGTCAAAAACCTTAATGGCATTTTCAATTTGATAAAATTGACACAAAATCTAAAATTAAGTCAAAATTGAGCTAATTGAAAATATAGGAACTAAAATGGCACAAGTAATAGAATGTATAGGGATTACCAATATAATTTATCCAATATTATAAGCATTTTCATGATATATGTTATAAGACTAAAGAAAATAAAGTAGAAAGAACCATAATGGAAGAGGAAATATAAAAGGCCACACATTTAATAAACAATTTTTCTATATCTTCATTACCATGCAAACTCACCTATTTATAGGTGATAAAACCCTCACTATTCATAGAGTGATTTACCACATGGTATGCCATACTACCCACATGGTAAAGCTTTTCCCTATTTACACTTTGGCTCAAAACTATTTAGAATTCCAATTGCATCTCTTTTGATGGTTATCCAAGTATTTCACAACACTCCCTATTGGATAACCATAAATGCCTCATTAAAACCTTCCCAAGGAAAACCCAATGGGAAAAAACCTTTGGTGAAGGAAAAATAGTACAATATTTTGGTACGTGATTTGTTTAGATTGCCTCATTAAAACCTTGCTAAGGAAAACCCAGTGGGAAAAAATCTTAAACGAAAGAAAAAAAGTACAATTTACAAATCTGCTTAAATGGATGACTCCCCTCAAAGTTGCATAATAAATCTTTATGTCGAAGCATTCTAATATTATGCACCAACTTTTTGAACGTTGTAGTAGGTAGTGCTTTAGTAAATAGATCTGCCAGATTATCGCTTGAATGTATCTTTGATGTAGCCTCCTTTGATCTGTGTGATACATGCAACATTATCTTCATATCATATGGTTAGACTATTTTTTGTTGAAGGTGATCCACATTTTTCTTGAATATGATAAATCATGGATCTAAGTCAAATACATTAATGACTTGCTTGATGAACTACAAGTATCCTTAAGTGATTTGAAGAAGTAGCAGTCAATATTTGTTTTACTAATCACCAAGATATTACCGTATTTCCATTGGTAAAAATATATCCTGTTTGTGATATGATTTTTTGTGGATCAGAGTGATATCAAGCATCTGCATATCTAATTAGTTGTGGCTTTGATTCATTTAAATAAAATAAATCCATATTAGTTGTTTCACGAAGATAAAGTAATATTTGTTTCACTGCATTCCAATGTCTTCGAGTTGATGTAGAATTATATCTTGCTAATAAATTGACTGCAAATGCAATATTGGGCCTGGTACAATTTGTTACATAATAACACTGATTGCATTTGGGACCAAGAATTTCTACACCATTTTCTGGAGAGTGAGAAAACCATTGGAGTATTTAATGTATGAGCTTGTTTCATATAAAGGTGCTTAAGAACCTTTTAATTGATGAATAAGAATTTTATTTGGCAAATGTTCGATCTATAGGCCGATACAAAATTTCGTTTTGCTAAGTAAATATTCTACAGTTTATGTAAGCTCTTCTAGAGTTCCACAAGTTTTTAATCTTCAACATATACTACAACAATTACAAATCTGGATTCCTCACTTTTGGGTTTTGAATTAAATGCTTCTAGCATTTTAAATCATTCAGGGAAGGACTTATATATATATATATATATATATATATATATATATATATCACTATCTAGTGATCCATCAAATTGTTGTAACCACATCCCTTAAAAGCATATCTAATTTTTTTATGATTTCCAAGCTGATGAGAAATCTAAATGCAATTGCATTTGTAATGGGTGAATAAATTTTCTCATAGTTAATACTAAGTTACTGCAAGAAACCTTGCACAATAAGTTGTGCATTATATCTAACAATTTCATTTTTCTCATTGCACTATAGTACAAATACCCACTTATATCCAGCAATACCCACTTATATTTGACAGGCTATGTCCCTTCAGGGGGTTAGACTACAATTCTAAATGCTTCATGTTTTTATAAGCAAGTTTAATTCTACTTGTATTGTTTTATTTATTTTTTATTTTTTTCCCACATTGGCCAATTATTTCTACATCCTCATTCTTTGACAGTTTGTGGTTTATTATTATCATCACTTCTGGCAATGCTTTCACCGTTAGTTTTGGTAATATCAAGAGCAACGTTAAATGAAAATATGTTGTCGACAACAATTTCATTTCTGTCACAAATATCTCCTGTACTTATATAATGTATTGAGATCTCATTATTTTCAGGTACCTTTTCCACTTCAAGGGATAACTCTTCAGGAGGTTCTACTTCAGGAGATAACTCTTCAGGAGATTCTTTTTCTGGAGGTTCTCTTTCAAGAGGTTTATAAGTAGGAGATTTAGATTAGATTTATTATAATAGTCTGTTTTGTGGGTCTAACCTCTCCAGGAGCATTAAGAATTTTTCGTGAGTTTAGCCTCTTCAAGAGTGTTAGGTATAATCTCTTCTAGAGCACCTCTTTCGGAGCGCGAATATAATCTCTTCAGGAGTGCTCGATATGATCTCTTCAGGAATACCAATTGTCATCTTCTTTCAAGAAACTTTGTCTTTTGCACCGACAAGTCTACAACTCTTCTGGCTTGACTTAGATACATTTACAGGTATACCAGCAGATTGTCCGTCAGGAACATTAATTCTTGTTAGAGCATTAGCAACTGGAATATAGGATTTTATTATATTTTTAGTGTCGGTATAAGCATCTGGTAATTGATTTGCTTACTTGGCAAATAAATAATCTTTTGAACTTCTAGTTCACATTGATTAGTACGAGAATCAAGATAAGATAACATCGACTTATTTCAAGTGATTTCACATCGAGTTTTAGTCTGTGATTTTTCTCCCCCTGATGATGGGAAGACTGTTTTATCAAAATGACAACTCATAAAGCGTGCTCTAAATCCATTGCATGTTAAGGGTTCAAGATATCTAATAATAGACTAACATAAACTCCAAGTTTACGTTGATGACCGATTTTATTGTGATAAGGGCGTGCAATAGAAATATATACAACATAACCAAACACTCTAAATGAATAACATTTAATGGTTAACCAAATACAAGCTATAATGGTGAGTATTCATGTATACAGTTGGTAATTTATTTTTCATAAGCAAAGGTTAAGCGATCAACTAAAGCCATTTAATTAAAATTAAACTATACCATTTTGAGTATGAACATGGGCAGTAAGATGCTTGACATCAGTACCAACATGTATGCAATAATCATTAAAAGGTGTGTTACGAATAAGACTATCTAGTTAATATATCTATCAAAATTATGAAATAACGAATAGTCCATGTTGATATGAATAGAATAGTCTAATAATTAATTTTTTCAGTGACCAGACACAGTATGGATAATCACTTGATGGATAATCTCTTGGTAAAAGAATCTTTTAGTTCTTTAATGGATGTCATATTTGATTTTTTTAATAATTTAATACATCCTTATAGATCTCAGATGCTCAGAGAAATTGTGCCCTGACATGAACGCATTTTTGGATTATAAATATAACACTTCCGGTGCATTAAGTTAGAGCATTTTTGGAGTATCTTAACATTTGATTCAATTGCTTTTATTGCTGTATAATACAACTCATACAAATATTAATCAACTTCAGTAGTAATATATAGATATTCTTCTTTACCTTTATTATGGTTTCATTAACTAATACGACATATATCTTTAAAATTTAACAGATGTCTTATAGATCTGCTAGAATATATTTCATCAATATCAAATTTGATTCCATTTGACAATCATAATATTGGCTCTTCCAGAGTTTTTAATCAAGTTTGCAGAACTTGAAATTTTACATTAGCTTTTGTCATCATCAAATGTTTTTCATTACAAAGAATTATAAGTGTGTTTATACTATTTACTAAATTAATATTTTATTCACCATTTTAAAATTAGTCAATACTTCAATACAATCCATGTATATAGATAGTTGATCATCATTTCCAAAACATGATCAAACAGGAAAATATAAATTCCAAAAACATAACTAAAACAAATATAATATTCAGAAACCAGTGTGAATATTTTCATTGCCAATAATCTCCTCTTTTTTTTTTTATTGAGGCTTGTTATTTAGAAGGCAGATGCTGCAAGTGAAAAAGATTTTAATAGTAAAATACTGTTGATGAATAGTGTTTTGAGAAAATTGTTAAAAGAATGCACAATGATGAATAATGAACTTCTGGGTGAAAAAGATGAACAATAATTATTTAGGCATATTAATCACTCTCTTTTCTAATAGATTTATTTGCCATGCAATATGCCCCATGCATATGCAACATGAATACATGTATATATACATACATCATTCTTGAAAGATTTTTTTATGTACACTTTCTCATTTTTCCTGTGATATCTTGTGATTATTCCACTTCAGGTGGAATAACATGATATTTTTGCTCGAATGTTTCTGAACATGTCCCCTACGAATTCTATAATTTTACCTTAGCC